ACTTCTGAATCCATTCCTTGTCGTGTTACAGCCGTTGTCAAGGTCAAATAAGCAGCAACTTCTTACTAATTAGGTATCTCTAATTCATTGGCTTTTCATTATGTTAATTGGTTACGATGAAAACTGTCGTCAGTAGTCCATCCTCCCTCCAGTCACGTTACAGTCAGTCATTTTGACATTTTTCATGTGTGCTTCGTGTGATGCAATGGTTAATATATCGATCTGGTACTCCGAAGATCTATGTTCGGCTCCAGGCAAGACGCAGTGAATTTTTCAAGAATTGCGGAACTTCTCTGGTTTCTACATCAACATGGAAGTTCTATGAATTTTATAGCTTATCGTTCAATGAAACAGGGATACAAGAGAAACTTCAGTAAGGTCATCTTTGCAACAAACAACAATTTCAACGTTCAAAATCGGTAAAGAATTGTTAGGCTTAAATTCACCGATAGATAACATATAGAAAATATATTTTATACTCCAGTTGAATCCTCAGCGATTAAATGGATATTGTAACAGATCTGAAAATCTAATGCCGAGACCAGCAGACTATCAACCCAGAATGAAAAGCTATTTTTCTACTCTAAGTTTTGAGGTCTAACGAGCTTAATCAGATGGAGTTTAAAACTTTTCCCGTACAATTAGAATCACCAGATATTATAATTTGTATAAACCGTGTTATATGAATTAACTGAAGAGTGTTACAGACCATATTCGGTGCAATGTTTGAAGAAATCAAAGACTTTCGTGGAAGCAAACGAATAAAGGAAAGCTATTGAAAACAGTGAATGTTTGAATGAGTTACCATGCCCTTGAAAATTTTCCGAAATAAAAGTCTTGCTCAAAGTATTATTGATTTTTTTTCCTCTTTATATATAATCAGCATAAAAATTTAGCTAAGTATGTTTACAAACATAGCTAAATTTAAAATACAGTTCTCATCTGTATTTTGTTTTACCATACAATTTTCGAAGATTAAATTTATTACATCTTGTTAAACAAATAAAACGGGTTGGTTGCATGATTGGTGGTTTTTCCCGTTTGTAAAGTGAATATCAGCCAGCTTCCCTGAAAAAGTCCGCCACAAGGGCATCCCTCCTCTTAGGCAGATAGCCCTCATGCGCTTTCTGTGTTCAAAATAATAAAACGAGCTGGTTGCATGATTGGTGGTTTTCCCATTTGTAAAGTGAATATCAGCCAGCTTCCTTGAAAACGTCCGCCACAAGGGCATCCCTCCTCTTAGGCAGATAGCCCTCATGCGCTTTCTGTGTTCAAAATAGCATAGCATGACATAACAGGTAATGTCTTTTTAATCGCTTACATTTAAATAAATTCAGTACATTTTTTTCTTTTAGAAAAGTTGATTTTGACTTAACAATTAACAATATTTCGTTACTCCACTGTCTAATAAATTCGATATTTATATTTAATTAGTATTTATGTTTTAATTTAAATTTTTTGTTCCGTTAAGTTTTTTCTAATTGTTTTAATCTTTAGATTACTTATTTTTGCACTGCATTTTACTTGAGTACTTAAGTAAATTTACTTAAGTACTCAAATGAGAGTACAAAAAGAGGAATTTGAATGAGAAGAACCCAGATCGGAATATTACTAAAAAGTACTGATTTGAGACAAAATGATATTACTAAAGAAAATAAGTTTCAAATCAAGTGTTATTTAAAAAAATTAAATTTGCCACCGAAACATTTAGGCAAATGTGGGCTTTGACCGAAAAGATAGAGGACTCATTTTTATAAAGTCTGAAAAATCGTAGTTTAATGGACGTGAGAATATATAGGTTTGTCCACCGGTACTATAAGAAGACGCTTTTGAAAGTTGTATTTAAAGCTTTTAGACCACATAGAAAAACCTAAACTAGTTCTTTCCGTGGGGAAAAAAAAAAAAAAAAAAAAAAAAAAACATTTTCTTAAACTCAGCCTTATGTTACAGGGACTTCTCACAATTGGAGTAACTTTTCGTGCTCTAAAAATAGGCCTTTTTTTGGCTGCGGCAGCTTTTTTTTGCAGCCTGCAGCTCAAAACCAACCAAAATGTGTGCATTAAGAAGACTTTTCGGGTCAATAGTATTTTCAGTCTTTCTTGATGCATTAATAAGATAAATTTTATTGAGAAAATAATTATAATACGCTTTAACATAATATTTTTCTTTTCGATAACAATGACTCCCCTGATGCTGAATTTGTGACGTTAGATTAGTCAAGTCTGGATTTACTAACTGTAATCCAGTTTTGTTGTCCAGTTAGTTAGTTGTCTTAAGACGAATTCAAACATCTGGATTTTCGGCTGTTCTTGTTCTAACTTAAAATAGATTTCATGTAAAAAAATATTTGCTCGCTTTTGTAAGTTGAACCGAATGCGAGCAAAATGGCAAAGCCATTTTTTTTGGGAATTATGGATTATGGATTGGCGCTACAAACTTATCGATTTATCCTTGAAACTGTTACAATTTTTATTTTTAGAGATAAAAACGCTGTTCGCTACTACGGCGCCCAAGCGGGAAAGTGGTTAGTGACTCTGGGTAGCCGTACCGAAGGGCCCGGGTCCTAATCTTGGAGAAAGCATGGATGTAAATTATGTGTCCCTTCATAGGAGGCAACGATGACTCACTCATTATGTGCCTCTATAGTAAAGTGACCATCACTTTCGGCTTCAGAAAGTGGCCACCGCTTATAATAGTTAATGCCCAGGGGGAGTGAAATATTCTTTATTGCAACTTTGTAATTAAGAAAAAATGTTATTGTTGATATTTATTTTCGGTTTGTTTTTGTATGTATTCTTCAAGTACTCCTTCCATAGTTATATTTTATAATTTATATATTATATTTTATATTTGGAACTCAGGTGGGTTACTTGAAACAACTCTCGGGTCATAAATTGCCGAGGTCCGCTCTAAAACTTACTCATTTTTTAATATTTTAAAGCCTTTTCTATAATTATTTCTTTCACTGCTATGGATAGTTTTTGCCAGTAAATTGCTTTTTTCTGATAAGACTTCAATCCAAATACTTAATGAAAAGTTTAAACGTATACACAGGAGCCAAGAAGCAAAGAAGGCTGCCTTTAACTAAAGTGTCATCTTCAATTATTTGGAGCTGCGTATCTGTTTATGGTACCGGATACATTGAAAGAATTAAATGTAATGTAAATTCACAGCATTACAAGGAAATCTTGGAAAACATCTCTTCCTACAGCTTACTATATCAATTTCCTCAAGGGTGTGCAATTTTTCAAGATCATGTAAAATAACTTTTAGACCACATGTAAAATAATTTTTACATGATAGTAGAAGCAATTCAAAGTATAGAAGATATTCCTAAAATAACCCAAGCGTTATAAAAAACCAAGCAGAGCCGTACTAAGTATTGAAATGATTAATTTTTCTTAAAATATAAGTTTTTTGTTTAAAAATATCTTTAAATATAGGCCGGCCTCGGACTGCAAGTTCAAAAATAGCGCCTTTCAGAAATTTTTTCGTTTTCATTTTTATTGCGTATTACAAGGGATATTTGTGTGGGGGGGTGGGCATGATGAAAATATAAAATTGTACTAAAAAACAAAGCTGCTATTTTGCAATTTTTTTTTTAATATCTAATTTGGCACATATATAATTTTCATTTACTAATCATTCAAGATTTAAAGTCTATTCCGGAAACATGGTCGTGCGGGCAAGTTATTTTTAATTATTAATTTTAAATTCAGAAATAGTCATTCTCTGTTTGAACGTAAATATATAAAATCATATTTTGTCCCTGCGTCGATGCTATGTACTCGTTTTATAACCGACTAAGCAGGCCCGATATATAGGTATTACTATCAGTCACTGGCTCACTTAGTTCCCACACATCACACAGATTCTTGCCAAGTTTCTGAGTACGTAAACTTTCACTTGCTCCCTTAATTGCTCGAAGTAGCGTTTTTTCTACTGATAATAATATACTCATTTACAAGTCGATGTTGAGTCCCATTCTGACTTATGCCTTTCCTATCTGGGGTTATGCCTGTAAAAGTTCTATGCCCAGAAGCTCAAAACTGCTCAAAATATTATACTTCGAGAAGTGGTGAACTGCCGGTGGTTCATTAGGAACTCGGCGATTCACCACGATTTCAAAATCTTTGAAATTAATGAGTATATGGTTAAACTAGCTGAGACTTTGTTTCAAAAAATTCTGAAAGTTAAAAATGAAGCAATTCCTATATAATTTAAGTTTAAAAAACGTGGTTCTCAATGAGATTTCAATGGTTAAACTCAATTGGCTCTATTGACTAAGGAGTTTGCCGATCATTGGGCTAGCCAAAGTAGTTACGTAAAAAAAAGAATTATGACATTATTGAATGTGCCTGCATTTAGAAACTGTAATATACGAGTTGTTTGGGAGGGATGAAACAAAACGAAGGAACATAAAGAATTTTCTATTGATCTCAGTGATTTAAGAAAGTCATACACTTGTAAGTTTTGGTGTCTTTTCGAAGAAAAGATTTAAACATAAAATTAATAACCGGTAGAATTTGAAAGGACTTGAAATAAAATAGATTTAACAGATTCTTACTGTGAGGAAAACGGCATTATTTTTTGTTGATTGAACGCGCTGTTCATTTGTTTATCAATACGCAATTTACTGGTGATAAGCAAATATTAAAGCAGAATGAAAGCTCGTATATTAAAGTAGAATGAGAGCTCTTTTGTTTTAAATCATCACAATGTCGAGCACATACTTTTTAATGACAATATATGAAATTTCATTTCGATTGGTTGAGAAGATAGGTCGCTAAGAGTTCATATGTCGGAGATTTTTTTAATATCCACCCTGTATTTAAGTGCTCTCACTTTTAGCAACTTTGAGTATTTCCAAGAATGCATTAAAGTTTTCGTGAACATCAGTATAGAAATGTTACAATGCATGTGAGCAGTAGAATTGGAGTATAACATGGACATGTGTTGTGTATCAAGAAAAGCACACATCAAACATTTACAGAGTTTTAAACAAAATCTGAAAATATTTTATTTCATTTCATGTAAGATTTTTTCACATATTGTTTGAAAAATAAAATACATAATTTCGAAACTCAGTGAATAATATATAGTAACCCTGTATGTTTTTATAGAATTCTTAACAACTTCTAGCCTGCGAGTTGCTTGCAAACACTTTAAGTGACTTTTCACGCGAAAAGGTTGGATAACTCTCGGAACAGTTACTCATTTTAAAGACTAAGTAAACTGTTCCATGGTATAAAAATATTATTTACGAGAATGAAAATGTATAAGTGCGATAAATTTTTTCTTCTGTCGTATGTTCCGAATGTATTATGTATTAACATAACCTGCGTCTCAAACGTTGCACTGATGGGGAGAAACTAATAGGATTTTTGAGTTCAGAGGGAAAAAAAATCTAGTTAACAAGTTAAGTTCCATTTCTAATAAAAGAAAAGACTTTATTTATTTATTTTTTAAATTTTGGTTTTACAGAAATTAGTGCAGAAATGAATGAAATTACGAAATACCGCCCCAAGAAATTTTACTTACATTTTTTTAATTGCAATAATGTTTATTAAAAGGCAGGCAATCCTGAATATTTGCTCTTCGTTTGAACTACATGTGCTCAAACCTAGCGTTATCTGTTACATTAATTTATTATTAAAAAACATTAATGCTAGCCTCGAACACTTAGATTTTGTTACATTCTTGCAGCATGGAGCATGACCTGCATACTATGTATTTTCTCTCATTCTTAACTTTCAGCTGAAATGGAAAAATTAACCCGATGTTAACAGAATGAATTGTCATACAAATCTTTAGACCTGAAATCTCGTGATGTTAACCGTAAATTATCTGGTATACAGCTATCTTTGAACTTCATTTATGATGCGAAGAGGCTATGCTAAGGCATTTAGTAATGTCTCTTAAGTACTGTTTCTTCTGTTCATACTTCTTAGCTAATCTTCAAGCATTTTTCAGTTATGAATTATGATGGCTGCTATATTCAGTGAATTGTGAAATATTTTGTGTTCTTGAATGGATGAAGCGTCATCTAGAAGAAAAATAACTGTAATTAAAAAATTTGAAATTGTTGAAGAAAAATTTCCTGATTTTATACATATTTGTGCTAATTACGTTATTATATATTAAAACTCACTGTAATAAACTTTCTTCTTTCTCTCTCTTTTTTTATATATACTAACTTTTGATTCGGCTTTACATTAAATACATTGAGGATCAGGGTGAGTATTAAAAATGGATGCAGAGTTTTGTAACACATTTAAGGCTTCTAGTTTATGGGACCTTAAAAAGAGATCATATAAAAGCTCCTATAAAAACGTACCTCATAAACTTGAGGAAAATATCGAATAGACGATGTTTCACTTTGCTTCATTAAATCTTTCACCTACACCCTCTTCACTTTTCCGATACGTATAAAATTCCTGGACGAGTCTTATCTGAATACGCAAAAAAGAAGTCATTCTCGAAGAATCTTCCCTAGAAGAAAGGCTTTAATGAATTCTCCGATATTGGATAGCTGTTGCCAGGTGCACTCCATTGAGTTACGATACTTTCGGAGATACTTTGAGCTTCGCAGATGGGTTTTGAGAAAATTTTTTTACTGTACATTTTTTTTATCCGGCAGAAAGAGTCGTCAAGCAATGATTTTGCTATTATTAGCCGCCAAATACCTCATAACATAAGGCGTCTAATGTATTCAGCAGAATTGGTTAGATGAAGAAATTGCAAAAATAGATATTCAAGGAATTCGTTTCTGTTTTCCAGTTACTTAAAGGACAGAAGAAAATCGATGACGATTATGTCTTTACCCATTTGAAAAAAAAAAAAAAAAAAAAAAAAAAAAATTAAACTCTAGGAGAGAACAATTACTTTACTTTCGATTGTGTGGCGTTTCAAATTTCCAAGTAAAACGCGTACAAAGGATTTTTTATATTAAGAGCTTTTGCGCAGATGGTTTATAAACCAAGTGTAAAAATTAGCTGCTTCGAAATGGTTAAATGAAACGAACATTTCATAGATAATGACGTCTTTCTGCAAAAAAATTATACTTTGTTAAGTAAAGACAAATAAATTAAAAAGTAAATGTTAAAAACTAAAGTTTCTGTTAGCATTTTAAAATATTAACTTCTTGTGCTTTGATATCAGGAAAGGATTTACAGTTCTAAGAGGGAATCATTAGATTTCTACAACGAATTACTATTAGATCTCTAAATATAATTTTATCTTTAATCCCCCAATGAATACAAATAAGTTCTAAAATCTTTTGAATGGATTCCAAAATCGATTGATTCTGATTCACATCGATTAATAAGTTTTCTTTAATAAGTTTCAAATAATAAATAAGTCATTCCTTAATAAGTTTTCATATATCTTTGTTTCTTCGTATAAACCTGTAATATTTCCATGTTAAGTAATGCTGTTGGTTAATATTCTTCATTATTTTTAATACCAGTTTTACATAAATTATACGAGAGGGTAAAATTATTATCGTCATCATTTAATTGCTCAAACTTCTCGTTAAATAATACTAATGTTGCACTAATTATACTAAGAAAATACAACGGAAACCTTAACTTTTAGAGAACGTAATGTTTCCGTTTGTTATTCAGAGTCAAATTATTTCTTTTTACCTTCGCTGCATTTGCCCTGTTGGTTTAAGATTTCCTTCATCACAGTTTAAGTTACTATAAATCTTTCATATATCTCATAAAAGTTTGTTGTATCTATTATCGGAGTTGTAATTTATTAAATAAAACTGCAATTTTTTTATTTGTCTTAACGATATGATGAATTTATTTATATTTTGCTTCCAAGGTTAAAAAAATTGGCCTTACTTTTTTTTTGGGGGGGGGGGTACAAAATGTTCATTTTCAATCATGTTTCTACGGACAACGATTTATCATAATACATTTCATACAATGATTCATAAACTTGAAATTTTGATACTGAAAACGTTGTATAGCAAGCTTTCAGCGACTGACCTCGAGCATAAAATTTATTTTTTAAGAATTTATTTAAAGGAATTAAATGTTTTAAATAAAGTTCTTATAAAGTTAATTTACGTGTCCCTGGCTACTAGAACATTTATGATAGTGTCTAGCGACTATTCATTGGTCTCTTTGCAACTATATAAAATATAAGTCAAAAGAAGGGTTAATATACCTTTTATTTACTTAAAGACACATTCACAGATGGTCCCTTCTCGGGCTTACAGGAAAGCCTCCACTTGCTTTAATTTAAGATAGAAGATAAGGAACTAAACTAATTCTAGCTAACTAAACTTCAGCCGAAGCTGGACAAAAATAACTAACTGAGTTGGGCCCGTAATTACACCTCACCAGCCAATAAGAACTTCTGAGCTCTTCTACGGAAGTTCCAGGTTCCACTGTATGACGAGATTATTGTATATATTTACATAACTTGTTCAGGCTCGCAGAGAAGGAGCCCTAGAGAAAGCATGACAATATAGACACTGCGAAAAAAAAAAAAAATGGGACAGTTCTATACCTTCCGTTCTATTGGGTCGATTGACGAAATTCAACTTGCGTTTTTCATGTCTCGAAAGCGCGACTTAGGATAAGTATTAGATTTATATACAGCATTGTTCTAATATAGGTATTTTGACACAAAATCCGACGTTTTCTGAAATAACATGACAATTTTTTTCCATATTTCAATTCTACGACTCAAATTACACCAAACTTCCAGGTTTTGTAAAAATCACACGAGTAGCTTTTAAAAAATTAGCTCTCAAAATTTTAGCTACTCAGTATTAATTGAGTTTGAAATATATTTAGTAACACATCTATTTTTATTAAACTTATTTGAGTCTTCCTTCCAAATTTCGAAATTAAGGTTCAATCGAAATCAAATTCGTCCGTTTTTTATGATTTATTTTAAAAATTTGTATTATTAAATAATTTTTATAAATTTTTCGAAAAACAAATTTGATATATAATTTATAAAATTTTTACCATCGTCTTAAAGTAGATGTATTTCTAAGCGTACCTGCAAAAAATGACAGTTTTTATTCAAAATTTCCGAATGTATACGTGAATTTATATATTGGCAAGTTTTGAAATTTGGCATATTTGTTAAAAGCAATAATAACATAAAATGTGGTTTAGGCACTTTTTTAAAATTATTTAGAAGTAGGAACGATGTGACTTTTTTTCGCTCATGCGCAATGTAAAAAGTAGGAACGATGTGGCTTTTTTTCTGCTCCTGCACAATGGAGGGGAAAGGAAAATAAGTTCCCATACATTAAGAAGTTCGCAAGTGAATTATTCTTCGCGCAAACTGAAAAAAAAAATCGCCAAGATAAATTTTTGAATTACTTCGTAAATTTCGCACCAAATTTTACAAAATTTAATATTTAGGCATAATATTTGTGTAGTAGAATCGAGATATGGAAAAAAATTCATGTTATTTCAGAAAAAGTCCGATTTTGTGTTAAACTACCTGTTTTAGAACAATGGTATATATAATTCTAATATATATCCTAAATCACGCTTTCGAGATATGAAAAACGCAATTTTAATTTTGTCAATCGGCACAGTATAACGGGAGATATAGAACTGTCCTCCTTTTCGCCATTTTTTATTTACCTTCGCCCATTTTTTATGATTTATTTTTAAAATTTGTATTTTTAAATAATTGTTATAAACTTTTCGAAAAACATTTTGAATTATAACATACCAAATTTTTACCATCATCTTAAGTAGACGTATTTCTAAGCGTAGATGCAAAAAATTACAATTTTTTATTCAAAATTTCCGAAGATACACGTGAATTTACATATTGGCATATTTTATGGGCAAGGCGGGATTTAGACTTAATAAGGCCCTAAGCTATTTGAGATATGGGGGCCCTTTATAAGTCCATATATTATATGTCAATGCCAAATATAATTTTCGGATACCTAGAGATTTTTTGGGAGACTTAGCTATAGCTTGTATAGCTTATACGTAAATCCTGTACTGGTTATAAGCGATAATAACGCCAAATGTGGCTTACGCACTTTGTCAAAATCATTTGAAATAATAAACGATGTCTTTTTTTTCCCGTTCGGTTACAATGAAAAAAGGGAAAGGAAAATGGGTTGCTATAAATTAAGAAATTCGCCAAGTAAATTATTCTTGGGGCAAACTGCAAAATATGCACCAAGATAAATTTTTGAACTTCTCCGTAAATTTCGCACCAGATTTTACAAAATTTAATATTTAGGCAGAATTTATGTCGTAGAATCAAAATATGGATAAAAATTGGCATGTCATTTCAGAAAAAGTCCGATTTTGTGTCAAAATACCTATAGCGCTTTCGAAACATGAAACACGCAACTTGAATTTCGTCAATCGGCCCAGTAGAACGGAAGATATAGAACTGTCTCATTTTTTTGCGCAGTGTACCTCTAGCTGGGGGGTCACTGGAAGCATTACTCAATTTACTCATAAAACAAATTTTTTGGTTGTTTAAATAGTTGACTTTATCTTTCGTTACAATGATCGGCAGCTATTTCCAGTTAGAATAAAATACTTTCATATTGATGAAGATTTTGATAAAATGGAAGAAACCTTTTTAATGCAATGATTTAAATTAAAAAAAAAAAGCATTTACTGTTCCCTCGGGGGAATGTAAATTTAAAAACAACGTCGTCCGCTTCGTGTATGGCATCCACACTTTCTTTTGCAACTTTTTCCTTAGGCTTTATCCCGACATGTGCATGGAATTTACTGAGAAAAAATGAATCCCGAAATGTACTTAGGAAATGTACTTGCATTTTTTAATACGTAGTACAATCACTGCGATTGAGGTCAATTACACTATGTGATTCATAACCCGTTATGAGTTGCGTAAAAGGCATCAACTGCTTATAAACATTTAGACAATTTTTACCTCGAATTTCGTGACCAATTTTGTACTTTGGTGTCTTTTTATTATAAATTTTAAATCCCAAATATTTAATTTGAAAACAATTGTTATATCTTCAGTTTTCGACCAGCTGACGTTGGATGTCTGGTTTCTCAACAGCTTCCATTCAACACTTTTCATGACTTGTTTACTTCTTTTTAGAAACACTTTTCAAAATTTTGATTTATATTAACATACTAAGGTGTCATGTAGTTTTTGAATTCCAAAATATCGTTCCTTTTGGTATATGATTAATTTTTAAGTTTGAACACAGTAATTTTACCTTATTTTTCTTCAATGATAAAATCGTATGCTATTTCGTTCTCAATAGCTTTCGTTAAATGATCTGCTATTTCATAAACTGTTCTAACATTGCACTAAAATTGCTAAACAATCTGTTTTTGAAGGAAAGGAATCGCCGTTACCACAACAACTTGAAATATTTGCATATTTTCTTTTATCGGTTCCTATTTAACCAATGTAGTTGTCCCCTTTTTATCCGCGATACTCTTTAAATGCATTGCGGATCTTGATAGTAAGTGCTTCTATTTAGGAGTAAAGCATTATGTATGATAATAAATATTTCTATTACTAAGGAGAACTCGAAAGTGTACTATTTCAAATTTTCTTTGCAGTATTCTCTTTTCTCAACTATGAACATATTAATGATGAGTACTCGTTCATATTAGTGATTTTTCTTACTCACCTTCAACAAGGAATTTTATTCGCCATTAGTTGAATTCATATCCGCTGGTAATCCTCTGTTTTTTACCGGTAGTCTGACATTTAGTGTCTTATTGGCTTTGTTGAATTGTGCACTCCCCGCATCTTTGTCCACAGCATAACTAAGATCCATATCTAAAAGATAAGCGTGATGAACTTCTGGAATACTTTCCAACTTGAGTTTCTTCTCGAATACATCCAACAGAATTTCACTTGCATTTTGAACTTCTAGGAGATCAATATCGATCACAATTTCTTTAGGTGCACATTTATCGGTATATCCCATCAAGCTGAAGTCCTTCATATCTATTATATCTCTATATTTAATTACATACTTTGGTTTTTGAACCTTTTTAGGCATCTGTGATAAAATTTCTTTCCTTTTTTCTGCCAACTTATTTTTGTAATATTCATCTATTGGCTCGCAAACCAAATTCTTTTGTTTACTTCGCCTGAGGACAACAGACGGCGGTATGCCTTTATACTTCATCTTTGGATATTTTGCAAGTGCTCTTTCCAAGTGAATATTGAAACTATCATGAATAGTAGATATAGCTGTGTCTTCCACTAGTCGCTTGAATCGTATATCATTCAGCGCACGTTCCATGGTCTCTGAATGGAATGAAGCATCAATAACAGTGCACTTCACTCCTTTCTTATCCAAATCTTCCCTCGGTTTGGACAAAATGACTGGTATCTTCCATTCGGTACCTAAAAAGGATAAAAAATAACAACAAATAAATAGGTATTCTTAAAAAATAAAACAGATAAGCATGCAGTCATGCAGATTACTCTTTAAATAATTTAAATGTTACAAGAGGTAACAAAAAGAGCAAATACCATCATGCTTGTAACTTTGTTATTATCCTTTTTAGAGCAACGAGAATTACTAATTTGGTTCGATAAACTATGTTACTATGCTAATGGTCAACCTAAGCTGAGAACAGTGAATAAACTAGAAAGTGTTAACTGTGTCATTTGTAGCAGTTGTAATTTGGAAATTAAACGATTAAAAATGAATATTGTTCAGATAAAAATGCTGTCAGAAAAGGGAGCTTAGGGGGAAACATTTAAATTGTTATTTAAAATAGAGCATTTTATCAATCATTTGATTGGCTTTTTCGAGGTATTGACAAACTCCAGTATTAAGCTGCAAATTGCAGTAACAGAATTTCACAATTTTACCCCTGCTCTTTCTAAGAAAAGGAAAAAAATAATCAATTTTCTTTGCCCTGAAGAATGGAAAGCAGTTGTCATTGGCCTTATGCTCAGCTAGAAATTGCTAACAGTGAAAATTTCATACCTTTGGAGATTGACAGGAACTGTTTATCCACCTTATGTCCAGAATGTAGTATGTTTAGTTCCTAAGTTTTAAGAATATAAAATAAAAGTAAATATAAATCTAATAACACATATTTGTATATTATTATTCCGTTTTGAGTGGCTATTTTTATGAATTTGAGTGTTCTGTCGAAATTAGTTATTCAACGTTTTCTTTGACATCATTTATACTTTTCTTATCGAAAATTAACTCGAATTTATATTTCACATTCAAATTGCAATATCAAATTTTATCGTTCCTTCTTTCACTCTCTTGATGACTTTATACCTTTAACTATACATTAATAGTGATTGCACCCTGGATTTAAAGTGAAAACTTTATAAAGAAGAGATTGAAATAAATAATTAAATTTTAAAGATTTGCTGATATGTTCCATTTTTAAGTATTGTTACGAATTTTGCACATATGTAATTAATTTTAATGAAATTGTTATTTAAAATGGAGCATTGTAAATAATATTGTAGTACATTTTTGTATAATGTGACATGAAATGCTTGTAAAAGAGATGCTCTGCAGAAAAAAATAAGATTACAGAGGGCACTAAGTTTATTAACACAGTATATTGACATTTATTTAACACTAAGCAAATGGCTATCTCGCTAGACTGGCGAGATATCGTCAAGGTAGCGATGGTTTTGGCTACTAAATTTTATCTCAAAATTTGACGAGAGATCGCTAAAAGTCGCCAAACCTGGAGACATTTTGGTCCGGTCCCTGTGTAACTGTAATTGGTACTGTAATTGATCCCTATATGTAACTGTGATGTCCTCCCGACCTTCCTTCAGATTTTACGTCGCCCTATATTCTTTTAATGGGCTGCGCCATGACAAGCCAGAAACAACAACAGCCTTACCAAAACAAACAAAAAAATTTAAAAAAAAACATAACAAAAGATAAATCATGAAATGCAGCTAGAAGGTACTAATTTATAGACCTCTGGTTTCTAATATTTCATGCACTGATAAAGGAAAGCAGAAAAAAAAAAAAAAAAAAAAGGAGCTTAGAAACTAAACTAAAATAATGGAAAAACAGTCAATACACTAATACAAACACGCACTCGCATGCAAACTAACACATTATGCCTATTTTCGCTCTATTTGACCTATCCTTGCCATAATTCTCTCTGCAATCCTTTTCACTGCTACACTGAGGTAATTAAGTACTTTAAAGTCTTTTTTTACTCCTTCTATACCTCTAGTGGCAGCACACTCTTCAGCAAAATGACGGGTATCTCCGATTACATTGCATTACTTACATTTATCATTGCCTTGGAAACCAACCCTATTGAAATAATAGGGAAATCGTCCACGGCAATTTATAATATGATTAACATCTATGCTTGAGATAGGTTTTTGTATTCCTTTTAATTTTAAAATTATTCAGAAAAGCTTTTCTTTTAATAGAGTCCTGCCATAGCATATCCCAATTCTTGTATAAATTACTTAGCATAATTCCCATGGTCTTTCTTCTTGAACGCAGAACTTTCTTCCGCTTTTGAAGTACTAGACTCTAAAGCTGCTTCTTTAGGAAAGACATTCGCCTTCTCACAGCCTAATCCAGGTAAGTCTAATTTTATGTTTCTCTTGTCTATAGTTCTTTGGTTGTTCGAATCAAAATATTCGGCTGGTCCGGGTTATAGAACGCTTGTAAAACTGAGAGATAAGCCGAATGTATAGCAATTTTCTTATTATAGGTTATCCTTTTTTGTACCTACTGCAGTGCCTTAAAATTTGCATGAAGTTTCTCTTGAAAAATAGAATTACAACTTTCCAATTTAAAATTTTCATTACCTAGTTCAATACCATAATAATAAGCAAAAAAGAACTTCATAATTTCTCCCCAATCTAGGACCCATTATTGTAAATATCAAGCTGATTCTCGTTTGGCTCAGCCTTATAGTATTCCATTGAGATTCTATTCTTGGGATGAAATAAATTCACATCTAGGGTTTTAAAAGCGCATTTAGTAATGAGTCCTCAAATCGCTTATATATCCAGTCTGCTACCTCTTAATAAAAAAAAAAAAAAATTGTAGCAAAACTCGTATCGTAGTGAGAGCGGTTGTGAATGGCCTCTGGATGGAATCCAATTTTTTCTAATCCTCTGCATCTCCGATGCTCGAGTTCCCCAAGCACCAGTGCCGTAGAATATAATTTGTAAAATCACATTATTAAAGATCTTTCGTAATGTAGTGCTCATGTGAGCCAGAATCTCACCTGAGAAGCTCCTCTTATAAAATTGTAGAATCAAATCACTGTTTCCATGTACTTGTTTAAAATGTTCAACAAAAATGAGTGTATTATAGAAAATTACCCTCCAAAATTTCAAATCCTTAATTAATTTATATCTTAGGAGGCCGCCGAAACTAACCCCAATATATCCTCACCCAACTTAAGTGAAACAGCCACCACCCTGCCTTCAATCCAATGAGCTATAATGTTAAAATTTTCATTTAAAATAATGTCTGCAGTCCCGCCTTCTTTTTTATGAACGACTCGTCAGTTCCTTGAACCCAGGCAGTCTTTCCATTGATCCAGTAAGGTTCTTGAATGAGGGCCACATCAGGGGGCAAGCCAATTATTTTTCCAATCCCAACGAGCTGGCATGCCGTCACAGAGCAATGATTCAAGTTTATGCTTAATGAATTCCTACTATATGTAATGCTATAAGCCAAAACAAATAAAAGCCAGTTCAATTTTTCACTCGGTATAGAATAAAACGAAATTATAAAACCTTAAAAACGATCCCGCCGCAAAAAGTTAATGTCATAATACAACTGATAAAAACCTAAAATCAAAATATAGCAATTTAAAACTCCAGTGTAACACAATAAATTATTTTTCCATGTTTAGTGAGCAGTTATAGATTTAACTTCTCTTTTACACGCTTCACAGCATTTTGAGAGTGGATTAAGGTTTATATCATAACTGGTTTTAAACTTTTCATTTGAATTTTTACAATTAATACCAACTGTACTTTTAATCTTACAAGCCTTGCTCTCATGTGTTGTAGAAAAATTCGTGCATGAGATTTCATTTCTGCAAGTCTTAGACGTGTGGCCGAGCTTCAAGCATTTAAAACAACGCTTTGGTTGTTAGTATAATTTGACTGTGTAGGCTTTTCAGCTTACACGCACTCTGTTATCTTCTACTATTTCAGACTGACATGTACCACTTCGCGGAATAATCGGTGAACGATCCCGTCCTGATGTCTGCTTTTTATTTTAAATAATGGTCATACACAGACCCCGGAGCATCCACAGTCCTTTTTCATTTTAGCTACTAATCAGTATCGACAAGGTCGCAAGCAGTATAAACAATAATTCTTGGTTGTATTGATCTATTTTCTCTTTTTTGAACTTCATTCTCAAGTTCTCTTTAGATTTAATCCTCTCCTGTAATTTGTTAACATCTTTCTTTTGTTTGTCTAACAACCAAGTCACCATTTCTTCTTTAATGGGAACTCATTACTTAGCAATAAAGCTGCCCTCATCGCCTTAAATGAAATTTGCTCACTCTGCCTGGGCAACGCCGGGTCAGGTAGTTGTTTGATAAAAACAGGAGTGTAAGAATGCTGAGAAGCCTATCAACATCAATACTGCCAATATTCAACGTCAATATTGCCCCCCCCCGGTTTGCTGGGTAACGGCCCTCTGCGACGGGTTCGCCCATGCAACTGGCAGGAGCAATTGACGACCAGTGCTGCCTGGTGTCTTATCCAGGTGGTGCGCTGCTTCCCTGGAAGGGTAATAGTGGAGGTTGAATCTCCACGAAGTGCTCAAAGGGGGAGTGGACCCGTAGTGTGATTGAGTTCACGGAGCAGGGAATGCCCAAATCTTGTTGTTGTCCACCCCTCCTTACTACTATGGTGCTTCCAGAGGCAACTGCAATTTAACAGATGGATTAGGCGTCGTACGCTCTGATCATATCTTGCTTTCTTCCATATTAATTTTTAAACAAAAACTTGAGGTAATATAATTAATTACCCTCAAAAATCGTCCAGATTATATTTCTAAAAGTACCATCCACCCCCTTTGGGCTACAATAAAAGAAGAAAGTGATTTTGTTATCGATATAATGTATAATGATATTAATGGTTTTAAGTTTTTAAGGCAAGATCTTTGTAAGCAATATTACTTGAGAGAATATGCTTCTTCCCTCCTGGATAACAAAAAAGAGCTATTCCTAACACAATGGCAAAATTTTTCTCGGGATGTACAACGAAGCAATTTAGTAACTTCTTGAAATCTATGTTGCTTCGGTGCTTATTAGTTTATTCGCCTTCATAAAATGGCACTAATTTTATTTGACATAACCCTCAAACGACTATCGCCTCTAGGACAGAGATTTCAATCTAACTATCATTGCAAA